TGTTTGTACAGTGTTAATAAAGTTGTGTGTTTGTACAGTGTTAATAAAGTTGTGTGTTTGTACAGTGTTAATAAAGTTGTGTGTTTGTACAGTGTTAATAAAGTTGTGTTTGTACAGTGTTAATAAAGTTGTGTGTCTGTACAGTGTTAATAAAGTTGTGTTTGTACAGTGTTAATAAAGTTGTGTGTCTGTACAGTGTTAATAAAGTTGTGTGTTTGTACAGTGTTAATAAAGTTGTGTGTTTGTACAGTGTTAATAAAGTTTTGTCTGTACAGTGTTAATAAAGTTGTGTGTTTGTACAGTGTTAATAAAGTTGTGTTTGTACAGTGTTAATAAAGTTGTGTGTCTGTACAGTGTTAATAAAGTTGTGTTTGTACAGTGTTAATAAAGTTGTGTGTTTGTACAGTGTTAATAAAGTTGTGTGTTTGTACAGTGTTAATAAAGTTGTGTGTTTGTACAGTGATAATAAAGTTGTGTCTGTACAGTGTTAATAAAGTTGTGTGTTTGTACAGTGTTAATAAAGTTGTGTGTTTGTACAGTGTTAATAAAGTTGTGTGTTTGTACAGTGTTAATAAAGTTGTGTGTTTGTACAGTGTTAATAAAGTTGTGTGTTTGTACAGTGATAATAAAGTTGTGTGTTTGTACAGTGTTAATAAAGTTGTGTGTTTGTACAGTGATAATAAAGTTGTGTGTTTGTACAGTGATAATAAAGTTGTGTGTTTGTACAGTGTTAATAAAGTTGTGTTTGTACAGTGTTAATAAAGTTGTGTGTTTGTACAGTGTTAATAAAGTTGTGTGTTTGTACAGTGTTAATAAAGTTGTGTGTTTGTACAGTGTTAATAAAGTTGTGTGTTTGTACAGTGATAATAAAGTTGTGTGTTTGTACAGTGTTAATAAAGTTGTGTTTGTACAGTGTTAATAAAGTTGTGTTTGTACAGTGTTAATAAAGTTGTGTTTGTACAGTGTTAATAAAGTTGTGTCTGTACAGTGTTAATAAAGTTGTGTGTTTGTACAGTGTTAATAAAGTTGTGTTTGTACAGTGTTAATAAAGTTGTGTTTGTACAGTGTTAATAAAGTTGTGTTTGTACAGTGTTAATAAAGTTGTGTCTGTACAGTGTTAATAAAGTTGTGTGTTTGTACAGTGATAATAAAGTTTGTGTTTGTACAGTGTTAATAAAGTTGTGTTTGTACAGTGTTAATAAAGTTGTGTGTTTGTACAGTGTTAATAAAGTTGTGTGTTTGTACAGTGTTAATAAAGTTGTGTGTTTGTACAGTGTTAATAAAGTTGTGTTTGTACAGTGTTAATAAAGTTGTGTTTGTACAGTGTTAATAAAGTTGTGTGTTTGTACAGTGTTAATAAAGTTGTGTGTTTGTACAGTGTTAATAAAGTTGTGTGTTTGTACAGTGATAATAAAGTTGTGTCTGTACAGTGTTAATAAAGTTGTGTGTTTGTACAGTGTTAATAAAGTTGTGTGTTTGTACAGTGTTAATAAAGTTGTGTGTTTGTACAGTGTTAATAAAGTTGTGTGTTTGTACAGTGTTAATAAAGTTGTGTGTTTGTACAGTGATAATAAAGTTGTGTGTTTGTACAGTGTTAATAAAGTTGTGTGTTTGTACAGTGATAATAAAGTTGTGTTTGTACAGTGTTAATAAAGTTGTGTTTGTACAGTGTTAATAAAGTTGTGTTTGTACAGTGTTAATAAAGTTGTGTCTGTACAGTGTTAATAAAGTTGTGTGTTTGTACAGTGATAATAAAGTTTGTGTTTGTACAGTGTTAATAAAGTTGTGTTTGTACAGTGTTAATAAAGTTGTGTGTTTGTACAGTGTTAATAAAGTTGTGTGTTTGTACAGTGTTAATAAAGTTGTGTGTTTGTACAGTGTTAATAAAGTTGTGTGTTTGTACAGTGTTAATAAAGTTGTGTGTTTGTACAGTGTTAATAAAGTTGTGTGTTTGTACAGTGTTAATAAAGTTGTGTGTTTGTACAGTGATAATAAAGTTGTGTGTTTGTACAGTGTTAATAAAGTTGTGTGTTTGTACAGTGATAATAAAGTTGTGTTTGTACAGTGTTAATAAAGTTGTGTTTGTACAGTGTTAATAAAGTTGTGTTTGTACAGTGTTAATAAAGTTGTGTCTGTACAGTGTTAATAAAGTTGTGTGTTTGTACAGTGATAATAAAGTTTGTGTTTGTACAGTGTTAATAAAGTTGTGTTTGTACAGTGTTAATAAAGTTGTGTTTGTACAGTGTTAATAAAGTTGTGTCTGTACAGTGTTAATAAAGTTTGTGTTTGTACAGTGTTAATAAAGTTGTGTGTTTGTACAGTGTTAATAAAGTTGTGTGTTTGTACAGTGTTAATAAAGTTGTGTGTTTGTACAGTGTTAATAAAGTTGTGTGTTTGTACAGTGTTAATAAAGTTGTGTTTGTACAGTGATAATAAAGTTGTGTGTTTGTACAGTGTTAATAAAGTTGTGTGTTTGTACAGTGTTAATAAAGTTGTGTGTTTGTACAGTGATAATAAAGTTGTGTTTGTACAGTGTTAATAAAGTTGTGTTTGTACAGTGTTAATAAAGTTGTGTCTGTACAGTGTTAATAAAGTTGTGTCTGTACAGTGTTAATAAAGTTGTGTGTTTTGTACAGTGTTAATAAAGTTGTGTGTTTGTACAGTGTTAATAAAGTTGTGTGTTTGTACAGTGTTAATAAAGTTGTGTGTCTGTACAGTGTTAATAAAGTTGTGTTTGTACAGTGATAATAAAGTTGTGTTTGTACAGTGTTAATAAAGTTGTGTTTGTACAGTGTTAATAAAGTTGTGTTTGTACAGTGTTAATAAAGTTGTGTTTGTACAGTGTTAATAAAGTTGTGTGTTTGTACAGTGTTAATAAAGTTGTGTTTGTACAGTGATAATAAAGTTGTGTTTGTACAGTGTTAATAAAGTTGTGTTTGTACAGTGTTAATAAAGTTGTGTTTGTACAGTGTTAATAAAGTTGTGTGTTTGTACAGTGTTAATAAAGTTGTGTGTTTGTACAGTGTTAATAAAGTTGTGTTTGTACAGTGTTAATAAAGTTGTGTTCACCAACTCACCAATCAGAGTCTTCAGACATTGTCCTGATGCTGTGTCCCAGATACGACTGCACACAGACAGAGTACAAGTCATCCTTCATTCTCCAGCATAAGTTGTTTTTATGTGTGTGTGTGTGTGTGTGTGTGTGTGTGTGTTACAGTGTGTGTGTGTGTGTGTGTGTGTGTGTGTGTGTGTGTGTGTGTGTGTGTGTGTGTGTGTGTGTGTACCAGAGGCCGTCGTAGCTGCTGGAGACGATGAGCGAACCATCTCTGTTGAAGTGAACCTGAAAGCACAAAGAGGTCAGTCAGATCAATGGACACATGCCTTTAAAGCAGAGGTCAAAGGTCAAAGGTCAAAGGTCGAGACTCACAGCAGAGACGGGGTCAGAGTGAGCCGGAAGAGTCTTCAGACACTTTCCTGTTTTAACGTCCCAGATACGAACACTCTCATCAAACTGCAGACAGACAGACAGAGAGAAAGACAGACAGAGAGAGACAGACAGACAGACAGACAGACAGGTTTAGTACAGTGTACTGTCTGTGTGGTCTGTGGTGCGTTCAGGTGCAGCAGCGTACCGATCCAGACACCACCAGGTTGGACTGAGGGTTGAAGTTACAGCAGAAGACGTAGTTACTGTGTCCCTTCAGAGTCTTCAGACACTTCCCCTGAAGAGAGAGAGACAGACAGACAGACAGACAGACAGACAGACAGACAGACAGACAGACAGACAGCAGTGTCCACTGTTAGAGACGGCTGTAGGTGTGATAGGAAGATGGTTCCTCTTTAATGTTAATGAGTGTGTAGGATGTAGCTGCTCTGTGCCTGTAAACTACTATACTATATATATAAAGTATATATATATATACTATATATATATATATACTTTATATATATAGTATATATATATATATATAGTATATATATATATATATATATATATATATATATATATATATATATATATATATATATATATATAAAAGTATATATATATATACACTTTATATATATATATACACTTTATATATATATATATATACTATATATATATATATAAAAGTGTATATATATATATACTTTATATATATATATATATATAGTATATATATATACTATATATATACTTTATATATAAAATATATATATATATAAAGTATATATATATATAAAGTATATATATATATACACTTTATATATATATATACACTTTATATATATATATATATACTATATAGATAGATTGATGCTAGAGACAACCTGCTGTACTCTGACTGGAAAACAAACCACATGTGTGTACAGAATACTCCTAACACCGTGATCCACATCAGACCAGCCCCTTTATCACAGGAGACGGTCTGATGTGGATCACAGAGCAGCCAATCACAGGGCTCGCTTTGTGTCTCGGGTCTTACAGAACTGTTGTCCCAGATCTTCAGTGTTTTATCGTCAGAGGCAGAAACCAGCAGGTTGGAGTCTGAAGACCAGGAGACATCAGAGATCCCCTGAACACACACACACACAGAAACACACACACACACACACACACACACACACACACACACAGGATCAGAACCAGAATTAAACCCAGACCCGGTTCAGATCAGGATCAGGATCAAGACTGAGGAGTCTCACCAGTTTGTGTCCAACGATGGATTTCTCAAACTTGCCATCGAACGCTCCCCAGATCTTTATCAGCTTATCTGCAGCTGCACATACACGTTACCATGGTTACTACAACAGCATCACAGCGAGGACCAATCAACAGTCAGTGTGACACATCAGCTGACACAGAGCGACCAGCCAGTGTTACAGTGTGTGAGTGTTACAGTGTGTGAGTGTGTTACAGTGTGTGAGTGTGTTACAGTGTGTGTGTGTGTTACAGTGTGTGTGTGTGTGTGTGTGTTACAGTGTGTGTGTGTGTGTGTGTGTGTGTGTGTTACAGT